GGGAGGGGGTGGGCGGGCACTGGCAGTGAAGGGAAATCAAGCACATCTCTGCCACAAAGACATTCAAAGTAACCAGCTGGACACATCCAAATCTGAAGATCAGGCACCATTCTCAAAAGCACACCTTGGATATCAGAAGGGTAACAGTTTCAAATAAAAACATTAAAGAAATATCTCTACCAAGCCAGCCCCAAGAAAAGAGAACCGCTCTGATTGTTGCAAACACATACAGCGTTAGAACACGACTGAAGGATCTACTTATTGTCCTTTCAGAATCCCTCGAGTCACAAAAAGAGGGAAACGGAGCTTTTGCCCGATAAACACATGGCTGGAATGGTTTATAGACTCCTGCAAGTGCAGATGACATTCCAAAACACTGGGTATCAGTAAGAAACTGAGTATCAAACAATTCGTTGATTTAAAAGTCAGATAGAATTAATTTCTAGAAGAATTTCAGGTATCAAGCAAATTTTGTCCACACTTTGATTTGAACTCTTATAGTCTTTTGCCTTTTCTACTGTAGGACTGTGAAACGCAGAGCCACTAAATCCTTAACAAACTGTGCTGTTTCAAGGTTACAGAAATTGCAGGAGCCATATTCCAGCTTAATATGGAAAACGAATTTATTTGCTTTCAAATTCACTGCTTTAAGAACATACCCTACCCTCCAGCCTAAGGCACAAATTAATTATCCGTAAAAAGCCAATTGCTACCGAACAGCTTACCTTTCCAATTGGCAGTAAGTAAAAGAGGGCTTGAAGGAAAAACCACAGAAGAAAAACACCAAACACTCTGGTCTCCCAAAGACTTTCAAGTGCTGGGAGAGGAGGAGGGAAGTTCATAAGACTGGGGTCCTCTTGTTTGCACATCAACAGCAGGTAGAATACAGTAGCAGGCAGGAAAAATATCAGTGTGAAGGTCCCTGTAAACAGACAACACGCCATATTAGAAGATAAACATAGAAAATAAACCACAACGAGTTTCAGTCCCCCTAATAAAGCTTGATATTATCTTTAGCAACAAAGAAGAGGTTGTCATTTTCTATTTCTGAAGCAAGACACCATCAACCCTCCCATCACGTAATGGGACACTCCTGCGTGGGGTCATATGACCCAACTAAAGGATCACACCCGCTGCGCCCCTTTAAAACTGTACACAGAATACTGTCAGGTTGAAACACTTGGGTTTTGAAAATATAAAAACTTTGCTAGTTACTTCTTCAATTTAATTTGGAAATATTTAAATATTTCAAGATCTTCACCACATTTCACAAGAGAACCAAGCGTAACAACAGCTCTTTGATCATCACCAACACCCCAACAGCCTACATGAAGCACTGTCATATCACTCTGGATTCTCCAACCATGGTCCAACCATCAGAAAAACAGTTCCTGACATCACAGCACGGTCAATAAATAAAAAACATAAAGTACTATTTTTAAACTATTATGGTAATTTGCACACGTACCGATTCTTCCACCAAACTCTAGCTCCTTTGTTTTTGATGATGGTTTTATTGTCTTAAAAATCTTCTCTTTTGTCTTTTTTTCTTCTCTTTCATGCTCTATTTCCAGGTCTGGTTCCAAATTTCGCTGTTAACGAATAAAAAGAATTTACTAAAAAAGTTTCCCGCTGATTCTACCTTATTTTACTCCAACGTTTTATATTTAAGAGGATATAATTCACTATAAAGCACCAATACACGATGTGTTCTATACAGTACTGAAGTTTACGCATTTGTATGGAGAGCCTGCTAAAACCAGTTTCCCTGTGATCACTGAAGGCCGTGACCAACCCATTCCCACCCTCCCAGACTCCTTTCTGCCACAACTCTGTGCATTAAGGACTAAAGAACTGATTTGAAACTGAAAACCAACAACAAAACCAAAACCCACACCCCCTAAAAAAATCCCTTCCTATGGCCAAAGACTGACACTGTGAAGGCATGGGAATGAGCACAAGGAACCAGCAAGGGCCTGATGGAAAAAAACCCCAAAACCAAACACAAAAAATGAATGTTACACAGCTCTAGAACTCTTCCCTTCTGACAATTTCACCTCCTTCTCCCCTGAACTTAGACGAATAATAAATTTATTTGACCACTAAGCTTTATGTTGCATTCTCTTTCTCCTTCATTACTGTATTGCCCTTTTCTAAGGATTTCTAAAAAAGCCAAGTTGAGCAACCTGGTCTAGTGGGAGGTGTCCCTGCCCAGAGCAGGGGGGTTGGAACTCAAAGATCTCTAAGGTCCCTTCCGACCCAAACCCTTCTGTGATTCTAAGGTAGAATTTGACATAAAACTAAGAGCAAATACAACGTTCATACCTCCACACTCAAGAGTGATGTGTCATTTCTTTCCGTACTTTCAGGTTCACCATTGTACCTCCTGGTGTTATTCTCACTCAGTTTCTAGTGAAAAGAAAAACCATGGGTTTAGCTTGCTGAAAATAACAGCTGCATTAAGTATATAATGAATCATTAAGAACACTAGATAGTCTTTTTGTCAACTGCAACTGCTCCAGTTTTCTCCAAAGGAAAACAAGTGGTTCAATATCCAAAGTATGGACAGTTTCAGCTCACAAAAAAGGGATAAAAACTTAATTAAGAAAAGGGAAAGGTTTTTAATAAACAGTGAAGTTAAGAGAGAATACAGCTTCCTAGTTATTTTTAACTCATAATTAGGAACTGCCAAGTACAAAACACGTATCAAGTTAGTATTCTATTAGGAAAGCAGAGGAAATTTCAGTGTCATGTATAGGACACTGCTTTGCAGGACTGAAAGTTTGGTTTTTCATTAAAAATCTTTCTAAGGAACAAATTATCTTACAAAATTTCTTTTACTGAGTCTAGCTTACACAACTCTGAGAAGACACAACTCATCTCTTTTATTTCAACTTAAGCTTTGTTGAAAAGGAGCAGGTCATTCCAGTCATACTACAAGCAATAGATCAATCCCACTCCTCAATTAGAAGCCAGGAGAAAAACACCAAAGATATTTTAACCTTTTTGTCCAAAGTAAAGTGCAGCCGCTGTTACAAACTACTTAAAACGAGTGTATGATCCACAGGCTGTGCACTGGGTCACTCAATATAACCTTCACAAAAAGGCCAAGAATAAACATGGCAAATTTCAGCTAAAAAGCAGGTATTTGATAAACTTACAAATCCTTACAGGATAGTTTTTGTAATGAAAACAGTTCTGCAATGTCATCAATCAGCAAGGCCATATATATATATATATATATATATTTGACACTTGAATTCTGCAGCAATTCTCCCACAGAAGCTTCATGTATTTTCTATTACTGTTTAGTGAACTGTATATGAAAACAGAACTCATTTTATTTCAGATTCTCATATGTACCTGCTACATACTGATTGATACATCTTAAAATTAGGCTAACTTCCTTCGCCCCCTTTCACAAGTGAGAGCGTATGAACGATTTCAGTGTTAAAATAGAATTTGTGTTTGAATTCTGAGAACTTCACAGTACTGCCACATTCAAATGGAACTTCACAACATAGGTTTACGTTTCAAGAATTTCCTCACAACTCATCAAACTGGAAGGACTATTTTCAAAGAGAAAAAGGCAGTTCTGAGATTTACTTTTGCAGATAATTATGTTTTTCAGGGAATGTGAACTCCAGCTGGCTTTTACAATAATAAACCCAGATGCATAAAAAAAGATCTTTTGCAAATAGCAAAAAATTTGTTTTAAAAAAATATTCAACAAGCCCGCATACAAAGAACAATGAGACAAAACTAATACCAGCTGAATGGTTTTCTCTTTGTCTTCTTTATGGTCTCTGCCTTGGGAAGAAGAGCGACGCCTGCCTTTTGCCGGCCGACCAGGAGATCTAGACTGAACTTTGCTGGTACGTCTTCTGGAGGGAGACCCTGAAGAGGACTGGCTCTTCCTGCGCTTGAATGATGACTGTGACTGAAAAAAAGGGGGGAAGAGAGCAAAATCTTATCTTAGGTGTCCCAAAGAACAATTTTAGAAACTCTTTTTTTTTGTGATGAGGACTCTGGTATCTAATTCTACAGAATTGTCTCTCATTTCCTTTACCGATGCTGTACGAAGGCTGTTAAGAGAGAGCAACTACTGTGTACTCATTTTGGCTGGTAACACCCAAATAATCCTGTTCTGAGTCCAGCTGCTGACAATTCCTGTCAGAGCTACAGAAATCAGGATCTGGATGTAAGCTATCAATGGGAGCGCCACACTCTTAAGCCTTTGCACAAGGAAATGAGATGACAGCCACCCCTTAAGCCTTAAGGGACAGCTATCTTTTTAATTACTTAGCTTTATTAATACATTTGGCGTATCAACATGCAATGATCTCTTTAAGGCAACAGAGCTCAGACCAACATTAAAAAACCCAAGTCAGCCGAATCATTAAAGTAGATGTGATAGCTAATTTCATAACGTTTTCCCCAAAAGCACCCAGGTTTATTTTTCTGTGACGCTACAACGCTTACTTTCCCCCATAAAATATCCACCACAACTTTTACAGGGCACAAACGCTTTATGACAAAGAAAGGTATCTGCTAACCTGCAAGCACAAAGTAAACCAGTTAGAAAGTCTTAAAGCAATGAAAATATTTGAGTAGCTCAAGGCAGAAACAATTTGTCCCAAAAGAAAAGGTCAGTTACAGGGCGTGTACACTGCCACTAAAAACTGAAACTCCAGTTCACATAAAGACACGCAATTTAGCTTCAACTTAAGCAGGTTTCAGAACAGGCCTTAAAAATCAACCACAGCAAACATTCAAATAGCTTTTTGTCTCATGCATTACCACATTTTAAGTGAAACATACACAAAGTTTTAAAGGCCTTTATTAGTAATTGACAAAACAGTAAAGATATGTAAAGAGGAAGGGATGTGCTCATATAAGTATGAGAAGACCCTTTTACAAAAGTCCACAATTGTCACAAATGAAGCAAAATACCTTATGAAACCTTTGGGGACCTAAAGCAGCACGAACTATTCACACATGTTTTTAAAGCATATGCTTAAAGGGTATGCACTATTTATATTTACATCCTTAACTATATGCTTGCATTTGTTTTCAAATTTTCTTATTTTGAAGTGGAAAAAAGTCAAATTAGTATCGCCCCCTGATAAATAGCTTTATAACCCACCTGAAAACATTTTTTCATGAACAATCATGCTATAGAGTTCCTGGAAAATCAGACATGCTTTTTCAACAGAAAGAAAACAATCACACTCCTTTAAAGACAGGGTCAGCATTCTGAACTTAAACTTGAGGTGTCATATATGAAAAAGCAATTGTTTAGCACCAATTCCTTGAAGAAACAGTTAATGAGAACTTGCAAAGCGACTACCCAATTGTAAGTTGTGTTTTTATGTACACCACAAAATCAGTATCATCTTCCATTAGAAATACTGATAATTATATAAAAGTGTACTAACCCTTATCTCACTTTCTTTCAACTCAAGTTCAGTCCCATCTTCGTACTTCAGGGTATAAACACGAGAAGCATCATTATAACCAGTCACTTGTAGCTCATAATACAGGACACCTCCTGGCCAACGGCCCATCACCACCTCGCCATCCGCAAACTTCCGGCTTGGCATTTTCCAAAAGGAATTCCTAGAAAATAAATAAATCAACACATATGTCAGCTAAACGTTAGGCTTCATTTTTTCCCTACTCTCTTTCCATATCGTTTGGGTTGGAACCGGGAAACTTTAAACACCTCTCCACCTTAAATAGGCAAAAAACTGCCTGGTAGGAAAAAAAAGCAATCATCTATTTTCCAAATTAACAGTAGACAGAAGAAAGAGGCTTAAAGTAGGGCAAAGAGTATAGTTGGATGTTATGAAAAAATGTTCAAACGTATTCAGCTATGATGTATGATCTCCAGCACCAGAGACCATCAAAACCAGGCAAAGCATGTATTTGACCAAGATTGCACAATGCAGGTGATCTTACCTAGAGGGAAAAAAGTAAATTAGATGGTATCCCGGTGTCTTCTAACCCTCTTTTCCTATGGTTCTACAAAAATTACGGAAGTGATGATTTCTAAATGTTAAAATAAAATGTCCCAAATCTCTTCAGTACACACAGCCGCATTACTTATGTTCTTCAATTTGTGACACCAAGCACTCAGAAGTTAGGAAACACCAGAATTTAGGCTCCTGTCTGGGTTGAGAATTTTTTCTTTTCTACCTATTTCGCACAAGGCATGCGATGCCTTTTGCAGGGGCCTGTAGGAAAACTAAGTACAGCACCAGAGCAATCACATCCTGAAAAACTGAATTCTATCCTGCTGTCTGCACCATAAGGTTTTTACTTCATATTAGCAAAACGGGGTTTAAGTGACCACTACCCTGGTTGCACCATTCCAGGGGAAAAAAACCCACAACTGCAACATACAGGAAGTTACGTTTTTAAATGTGAAGTCCTGTATAACTCTTTGGAAAGTGCCTTGTATGATGTCATTGCCACTTGAAAATAGGCACCCATAGCAGGAGATACTTTTGTGGCTCAGGCCTCAAGGTATAAAGTGAGGGTATCTGAAAAGTCTAAGGTGAAATACATACTAACTTATGTATTATCACCATTTGCATGATGAACATAAGAACTTAGAGTAGTGAGGGGAGAAAACGAACCAGCAATTTTTTTGTTTCAAGGCATTTTAACTTGTTCGCTATAAATAAGATGTGAAGCCACACAAAATGAGGTGAAAACAAATATTTATCTCCTTCATTACACATTAACTAACCTGCAGTGAAAAGTTAGATTCTTTGGCAAAAAAATACTGTTAATATGCAATCACAGACCTTCATAACACATTGGGGGATGGGGCTAAGTGAGACTTTTTGATCAACTTCCATCCTGACATTTCCTGAAACTGCTGCTGCTGTTGGATTTTACACCTGTGTAGCTCTTGAAGTCAAAGAAACTAAAAACTCAGCAAAATTCCCTCACGTGGATGTTACTGCTAATATTCATAATTGCTCCAGAACAGAAACATCCAGCCACCTCCTTTGCTGTGTAATATTTGAAGAAGTGAAAATATTAAAATTTTATCATTTGGTTTCATTGACACTTGCCACTTAGGAAAATGATCAGAAAAATGGTCCATGCTAGTAGAGGCATGCTCTTCCAGCTCCCCTGTCTCCTCCCTACTGGTTCTTGTCCCAGCCTCTTGTTACTTTCTTACTCCTTCTGAATTCCCACCCCTCCGACCCTGTTTTACCCCAGTCAGTTGAACCTCAAATTGATATACTTGCTCCTTATAACTCAGCGAAATACAATTTATATCTTTTCATTTGAAAGTCTTCTCCATTCTCTCCTTACCCCCCTTTTAATTCCTTGGGGGTTTGCATCCTTTTCTGCTCTAACTCACCAAACTAGTTCCAGTTCCTCATGGCCACCACTGGGCTCAAGATTTGATGATCTCAATCCTCATTTCTGTCTCTCTTTCCAGTTTCCTCACCCAAAAGACAGTTCTTTAGGAGACCCACACCTATTACTGCCCTTTCCCCAGTCTCTTGCACAGATCCAGCTTCTTCCTCCCCTTCCATAGTCTAAATTCTGGTCCTCCACCAAGTCCAGTTATGGCTTTCACCAGCTGCCATAACCTGATCTACGACTCGAACTCCTCTTTGCCAGTGCACCTCCTGCACTCCAGTCAACTGTTTCCCCCTCTTGACCTGGAACACCTCAGGCATCATCAGTAAACTCAGACAAGCTGCCAGATCCCATGACAAAGTTGTGAAAAAAAAAACCAACCCAGAATCTTTGGAGTCTACCTCCTTTTTGAAAAAAGGAAACAATTTTTCGCAAAGTTGTCACTAGCGACATGTAAACTGATTTTTTATGATTTGGAATAACCACTTCAAACCTGATGATTTAGATCTTTTTAGAGACCTTCCCCTCCTCCAACCTTGTTCTCAAAAGGAGCAGCTAGTTTTAAGAAGTTGGAAAACGTGGTTGAAGGATCTGAAGCTAAATCAATTTTATGTAATTCAGCCCAAGGCAGACATCAAAGATATGAAATTCAATAATAATAAACAATTTTAAGCAAGTAGAACTATTATCCAGTGATTCAAAAGTAATGCACAATTTTATTAATAGCAAGACCCACTTATTTCTTATCAATGGCAAGACCTACTTATTTTTCTATTTTTTCCTTAAATGTTAAAGATTAATAATGAGATCAAACATTAAACACTAAAAAAGTAAATGTTACTTCTTACTCTATAAAAAATTGTTCTACACTCCTGTGCCTCCTGTGAGGGAGGTTCATTATCCTCATTCCACGTATCCCACTTCAAAAAGCTACGCCTTTTAAAGGCAGCCTTCATCTGTTCAGATAACAAAAACCATTACTGGGATCAAAAAGAACGAAGATAGGAAATCTTTAAAAAAAAAATGCCACTTAGAAATGACATTTTTAATTTACTGCTCTTTCAAGCCCTACACACACCCCTGGTAGTTTTCATCTGGCATCAGCCTAATGGTCAGAGCAGTCCTATACAAATGTTTTAATTCACAGAGCTTCAAAATATATCACTGAGCAACCTCAAAAGACAAATTATTTCATACAATGAACCCTGTACTATACAGATACCTGGTTACAAGTATATTCACTTACTCCCAAGACAAAATTTCTGTTTTCTGTACCATTATGATTTTCCTTGAGGAACCCAGACTCTAAGGGAATGGCTCAAAAGGATTTTGTATCCTACAACAAGCCAAGACAATTAATGCAAAACTCCCTGGAGCTTTAAAGCTGGTGAAGAAGCAAAGTTGCTGCTGACTCAACCAAGAATGAAACAATTAAAGAGAAATATGGCAGAGAAACATACTGCCCCACAGATCCATTTCTTGTCCTTCTTAATGACCTTCTCACTAGGTATGTGGAAAGATAACTCACTCATATCAAGAAAATAAGAAAAAGAGTAATAGCTTGTAGTTGCTAGAAGATCATACCACATCATCAGGAGTTGGGTGCACAGTTTTAGGAAGAAATTAAAAAAAACCCCAAACATTAAACTAAGTTATCCCTCCTAGAAGAGCTGTGCAATGTTTATACATATCCAGTAGTCCTACTTATTATCCTCACACCTTGCTATTGGTAGCCAATGTTGTGTATGTCAGAGGAAGGAGCCAGTTGAATGCAAGAAAATAAGAAACGCAGGAAAATTAGAAGAAAAAAAAAACAAAACCAAACAACAACATTGACAGTCAGGGTAAGAAGCCACAGCTCCTTATAGGGAAAGTTGCTACCGAGTTCACCTAAGAGACGGCAGGCCTTTTTCAGGATCACCATCACTCATGCCACATTTCAGGCTCTCCACCTCCACAACGCCGAAAGCACCTGCCCCTGCTCAACCTTGGCTCGACCAGTCGAATTCCCTTCACCGCTAAAAACACGCACAGGGAAGCCTCAGAGTATAACAAAAAGCTATGGATCCTCGGGCAGGGAAACGTTTTTGGGTTTGGTTATTTTTTTTCCCCTTTAAAAAAGGCGCTTTCCGCAGCGGCGCGGAGCGGCGGGGCAGGGGCAGACCTCGGGCTCCCCCCGGCGGCGGGGCGCCCCGCACTCCCGGGCCCGGGCCTGGCGCGGGGTCTCCGCCGCAGGGGAAGGGAAGGGAGGGGCCGCGCAGGGCCAGGCCTCCCCTCTCCCACACCGGGGTGGCCGCGGCCTCTGCCCGCGCTGGGCCCGGCGGCGTCTCGAACAAAGCGGGGAAGCCCCCCCCCCGCCCCAGGCCTAAGCAAGCGGCCCGAGCAGCGAAAAAGGGAGCTGCTCGCCCACCTCACAGCGGCCTTGAGGGGGGCCGCGGCCCGACGCTCGCGCACGGGGGTGGTGAGGCGGCCATGAGCCGCAGCGCTCCCCCTCACCCTCAGAAGGCCGCGGAACGGAGTACCTCCCGGCCCGCGCCTGCCCCGGTGCCGCTATTCCCTTACCTGGTGGCCGCCCCCACCGGGCCGGGCAGGAGGCGCGTCCGCGGAGCGGCGGGAGCCGGGCCCGAGCGCGGCGCTCACCGCTGAGGGGAACAACCGCCCTGCGCGAGTGTTAGGGCTCCGCCGCCAGTCCGCCCCCTCGGCCCGCCCCTTCCCGCCCGCCAACCGTTCCTATTGGCCAAAGGGCGCCGTTTGAATCGTGGGTGGCCGCACGCCATTGGCTGCCGGGCGATGGCGCGGTCCTGCCGCCCGAGGCCCCGGTGAGGAGAGGAGCGGGGCGGCGCGGCTGATAACGGGTGCGAGTGCGGCCGCGAGGAGGAGGAGAGGCCGCGGTTGCCATGGCGGCCATAAAGGCCCCGCCGGCGGGCGGTAAACAAGAGACGGGGGGGGGGTTTTGTTTATGGAGGGGGGCCTGAGGCGGCGTTTGAGGCAGCGAGACGCCTCCCGCCCACGGCAGCCGCGCACCGGCCGCTGAACCAGCGTGAAAACACACACTCTCACAGAAAGAAAAAAAATAATAAAAGGAATAAATAATAATTTTAAAAAGCAGAGCTGTGTGGTTCAGGCTGTTCTTCTGAGGGAACGTTTCCAGATAGACCCTTGTTCCTGGCCGGTTTTGAAATCAGGAAGTCTAAAGCAATACTGAGTGGGGAGGAGAAAAACGGGTTGTGAAAAAGTTAACCAGTT